CTGAACCCCCAAAAAAGGTTCGGCAGTTTAGAAATAGCGTCGAAATGGTTGGAGATGCTTAAAAAACGATTATTTAGTTCTGCAAAACCTTTAAAGGTTCTTCCCCTTGATACACGGGCCGAACCTTCTCCTACGAAACCTTTTTTAAGTTCCGTAGTGCAAAAAAAGATTCTGTAAGAAAATACGAAACCCCTAGAGTTCCGTAGAAGAAACTCTCAGACCATTCAGGTTTATTACGAAACCACTGAGGTTTAATACGAGGCTCTATGGATCTCGTGTTTTCTTACGGAACCTATTTTTTTCGCAGAACTGAATAATCGTTTTTTAACCATCTCCAACCATTTCAACGCTATTTCTAAACTGCCGAACCTTTTTTGGGCGTTCAGTAGAAAACCAATTTTTTTTAGAGTGTTACCTGTTATATTTTAGCTCATTTTCAAAGTCTATCATAACAGTGATTCTACACTTCAGATTTATCTCATATTGCACTAACTATCACGAATTCAATATCAATTGGATCGTCTAATGTTTAAACGAGCTCACATCTAACTTCATAGTCATCACTTCCGTTGTCATCTGGCTCTCAGAATGATACATTACTTTTCATTCGCATTTAAGTGGATTCAGACGTTGAAGCTTTTTCTTTTAAAGTCACGGCATCATTATTCTTTTCTAATCTGTCTTCTGTTACTAAAACAATACTTTCTCCGAATCCGATAGGTACAAATGGTTATACGAAATCACAGTATGATCAAGTGTTTGTTTATCAAGTACCACAAAGAAACCTGATACTACTACATTATCTTCCTTTTCTGCTAATGTTGTACCATGTCCTTTTTCTAATAACTTGCTCAATGTTGTTCCTACTGGCTGGACATCACCATCTACATCAAACTGCTTGAAATGTCGGATGACATTTAGTTCGCTGATTCCTTATTTGTTCTCTCATTGATTATTGTGTACTTCTTACATAAACCATGGACACTTCAATTCATGTCTTTATTGTGCCATACTTTATTCTTATACAATATAATCATTTTCTTTTTCGTGTATATTCATGATGTTTTTCCTTTATGAAACGCCAGACTTATTATTTATTCTTTATGAAATACTCTGTGATAACATTAATCTTTCATGCACAATAAATTCTCGATATTTTGTAATGTTCCTTGTTAATTGTTTTTGAACGCTATGACTCAATAAATAAGAATCTTCGTGATATTAAAACGTCGGGTTATTTCATTAATATAGTCTTGTAATTCAATAATACTAAATACTAGTCTCTCGATTTTTATCTTATTGTGTAGCTGAGATGTTCCATAAAAATAAGATCTTAAGTGAAAAATCAGCTAAGTAACTCGAAAAAGTGTGTGCTTGACAGTTGCTTACAAATGTTGGCGTGATCCTTAGTCAAACTAGTTTACTCTCTTCTCATCTTATATAGAATGATAGAGTGAAATGAAACGAACAACTATTCTGTCGACAACAATGGTTGATAATGTATTGGAGAAGTTATAAAGATTTTCAAAATTATCTTTAGCAGAATTCGCTGCAGTGTTCTGAATTTACTCCAGGATATTTCTTTTTAGAAAAAAAAAAAGTTTAGTAACTCTCAGTATTTTAAGGATTACATCGCTGTTGTTCGACCGATTGACAAGCATTTTTCAAATCCCATAGAAGAGACTTTAGCTTTTTGAATACATGGTATATATTTTATTCATTTGCAATTTATCGATAATGAGTAAGAAATCGGGATAGTAAGGCTCTTGTCAGTTTTGCCGAAGAATTTGATACTTACTTTCACTCGAATATCTCTTGTCTCATATATCTATTAAATGTTTTAATATTTTTATTACTATTATTCTCGTTTCTCAAACGTTCTCATGGATGTATAAAGTCAGCAATTATTATTCATTATTAAAGCAAAAAAAAATATGACCGATATGATATTTAAAAGTTGAGTTTTCGATAAAATCATAATATCTTTCTTATTACAGAATTGTTAGACTATTAATAAAGTATTTTGTTTTATTTTTGATTTAATTTATGCAAGTTATATGATTATTTATTGAGTGTAAGTGTGGAGTGTTGGTATGTTTTACGTGGCATATGGATGCATGGGTGTGGTGTGTGAGTGTGACAATGAATGAATTTAGATGTGGTAATGAGAGTATGGGTATCAGTGCGATTGGTTGAATAGGTAAAGAGTATCATCATATGACACGCGCACAGACGTTCTTATTGGTACTAACATCGTGGCAAATACGTACAGCTCACAGCAAGATTAAGAATTTCGAAACGACGATTTCAATAGTCGAAAATTCATTCATCGTTTATATTTATTTCAAAACAAAAATCAAAAGATAAATATTTATATGTACCTGCATTTAACATAAGTTTTCAACTTGAAAAATTTTTGTTTTTGAACTATTTTTGAGCTGCGTCAACAACAAATACATCCAATAGTAGCCCTATCAAAACCTCCATCCCTATTAGCTTTGATAAAATTTTATAGATCTGTTCGTGACCGTTTATTCAAAAAAAAAAGGAAATTGAAATCTTTGTTAAATTAGAATCTTTTGCAAGAACAATCAATTTCGAAGGACATTAGTGGCAACTTTCAGAAGCCATACATGAACTAAATTCTTAGTGCGGTATTTATTCAAAATATGTCACATCATAGAAATTTAGCAGAAAATTAACAATTTAAAAAATATTTTCTATTATTGCCAAACGGTCAGGTGTTAAAAACGACCAAATTATACAATTTTCTTCAGGAATATCTGTGTTATGTTATAAAAACCAAGACTACACTGAATTTCCAATACACTGTTCGAAAAAGCACTCTGCACGCTATAACAATCATATTTAGATGTCTTTTTTTTAAGATTTCACTGCTGAAGTAAAAAATTTTACGGAAAATAGAAAAAAACGATCTTGTGCGATGGTAGGATTGCAAGAACTATTTCAAAGGTGTTTGCTCGTTGGCTTTTCCTTCCTTCTAGATTCGTTCTGGGAAAATATTTCAATTATAAAATTTGTAGTTCAGATGATATGCTTTCTAGCAATAAAAAATCATTGGTTTAAAACTTCGCAATAAGAGCTAACAAGTTTGGACATGTTTTCAAGGACTTTTGCGTTGCATATTAATTTCAGAGGATAGTACGTCTTATTGTATTGAACGAATCACGATACACATCGCTATGGAATTATTTCGTTTGCTGACACATAAAATAAATAAATTACGACGCTTTCTTGAAAATATTTAGCTGTCAGTACGATAACAAAAAAATATTGACTAAGCGAAACAAAAAACACGTAATGGAATTAGAAGAAACATATTCTAAAGAAAGAACAAGAAAATAATCATTCACTTTCATTTTATAATAATTGAAAAAAGCATCTGTTTCCATGGACAACTCTGAGTGTGTTTTGCATTGTTTTTCAATTGTGCGTGTGGTTTATATATGTATATGTTAAAATTTTCTTTCAGCTTGGCAAATAAACGCTTTCTTTTTTCTTCTATTTACCATTCATAATGAATAAAAAAAACCTATTTATTCTTTTATTTAACAGAATTTTGAAATATAGGTCAGAGTTTGATTAATTTCTTAATTGCTTCGCAACATGGAACGATTATTCTCTATCGATAGCATTCTTAAGAACTACAAATGTGAACTTAGTGTTCAGATTTATCAATACAATTCCAAGTTAAATAGTTTTTATTTTATAAAAAAATATATTTTTCAAAAACATAAATTTGACATGTTTCAATATAACTATTGTCCTAGCAACCATGGTACAAATTATTCAATATACAAAATTCATATAATTTTGACAAACATATATAAACGATAACAATTTAATAGAAGTTTGAATTAACCGTTATTGAAAAGAATCAAACTATGTGAAATATATCAAAGATGAAATTAACTGTAATCATCAATTTCTCTCATACAGTTGATAAATATTAATAGTTTGAAATCATTTACTTTCACATATTATTTTATGATATATTCAACAATATCGTACTAAAATATTCTGTATTATGTTGAACTGTACGTTCTAATAAGTTTGAATATTATCTTACTCTTCAGGCTAAAAATTATTCTTTTATTTTGGGTATAGTAAATTTAATACATATCCACAGGAAAATTTGTTATTTTTAACAAATCTTTTTATAACATAAGGTCAGTGTGGAAGTACTTAGTTGTTATTATAGTGTTTTTTTAAAGGATGTCGAAAAGAATACATTCGAGAATGAATGATTGCAATCGATTCGCTACATTAAAATTCGAATGTATCAATAGATACATTCTAAGTTATTTGTTATTATTTTAAAAAAATCGGAATATAAAGTCAATAATGACATCTTTTCTAACTACGATGAAGATGATCCATTGCTTATACGTGCTAATTTATATTGTACAATGAAGTTTGTGTGTATGTGTGATTATTTTTAGTTCACACATAGCGATCTGTATTTCTTATTCATCTAGAAAGAATACTCTTGATGTCATATGATTTCTATTGAACATCATGAGGTATATTTCGGAAAGGGTTTTTCATCGTTCAGCTCATTTACAACATGCTATCTGACAGTTTTATATATTAACTTGATTCGTATATGAAAGAAAGAAATGGAGCCACAATCTGTATTTTTGTTATTGGTGTCATACAATTCGAAGAGAGATGTATTGCAATTTTAGTAGCATGTTTTTGTTAGCTACACAATAGAGTCATTCTATTTCTAATATATGTGATTGAGTGTCAATCGAATAGTTGGAAAGACTAAATAGTTAAGATTCCTTATGTTATGAAACTGTGTTTTTCTGTTTGTCTCGAATACTTTGAATGAGTTTCAAAGGAACTATCAACAGTATATTGTTCATATTTAACGCTTTAAAGTACTATAAATATCAACATATTTATTAAAATGGCCTATTATCAATCATAAAAAATAAAAATCAACAATTGTACCTAATGACAAAAAAAAAATTTCATCTAAGCTTTCGAACAGCTGAAAGTTCATTTTTTTTAATAGGAATATAATTTCCATTATGTAGAAAACATTGTTTGAAAACATTAATTTGTGATCGATTTGTGCAACCGTTTCCATTGAATTGATGACCTAAATTGCGAAGCATTTCATAAACGATTTCTCCAGCCCAAAACAATGCATTTGAACTGTTTTTAACTGATCCATTAAGTTTATCTTGATTTAATTCAATTTCAAATTCACCATCAATTAAAAATGATGATCCATGAGATATACAATAAACACATGGAAGAGAGTTATTATTTTCTTTTTGATCTTTTTCATGAATCGGATAAATATTGATGATGGGTATTTCTCCATTTGCACTTTGAACTTTCAAACACATTAATTGATAATGTAATAATAAATATCTATTGAAATAAATTGAATTTTGTATCAAATTTGACTGTGACAATACACCTTGGTTTAAGACACACCCAGATGCACCACAAATTTGATATAAATTTCGTAAAATTTCTGGATTAAATAATCTATCAGCAACAATTTGTAAAGCATTTTCAATAATTAATACTTGATCTGATGTGAAGCCATTGTGAATTTCATAAAAAATTTCAAATTTTTCCTGAGAATTTTGAGATATAATTCGTTTCGCCGGACCATAATGAACATGTTCTTCGTTTTCTGATACATCATTGAATTCATTTGTATTTTGATTTTGTTCTGATGATGACATATCACTAGCATAAGATGTTCTTCGAGAATTTTCATCAGAAGATAATGAAAAAATAAATTCTTCATATTCACTAGTATCTAACTGTTGATAACCATCATCTAAGAACTGTATTCAAATTGTTAAAATGTCAATATGTATACAAAGACTTACTTTAGATTTAAATCGATTTAAAAAACTGCTTGGCAATACACTTCGAGGCATTTGACTTGCTGGTGAAGAAAAATAAAGATTTGTCTTTCTTGATAATGTATAAGAATCAAACGAATATGTGTTAGTTTTAATGGTGTCCATGTCTGCTTATATAGGCAAGTTGTTGTTTACAATGTAAAATTTCTTTTCTATTCTGTTTGACGTCATATCAATTATGTTGCCAAGACTCTTTTTAAACTACTGTCTGCTGATTGTATGCTCATGATTCTTTTTTTAACTGTTTATTTATGGAGAAAATGATTTTACATTAATTCACCACAGTCTGTGTACTTTTTCAGCATGAATAAAAGCTAAAGAATATGTCAAGGCAGCTGAAAAATACATTTAACCCGAATATGTATGTCCTTTTCGTTGATCGTCATTTCGTTTTCTTTCTTCTGTAAGCTTTTTCTCTTTTATTTTCATCAATTCTGTTACTAAAGACTTGTCCTTTTAAAATTTCTTCACTTTCTTTCAGTGATAGACATATATTTCAAAGTCGATTTTTACTTAATGAACATTCGAATGTGTCATAGTATAAGTAGATTTCTGGACGATACTCGTGAAAGTAGTCACCAAAGCAATCCTAAGAAAATGCCGTGTGACTCTTTGATTAATTGCTAGAGAAATTTATCAATTTTCAAAGTATATAACTAGCAATAAAAAGCTCTCTAGGGAATTTCTGAGACAGTGCATCACTTATATATTTCCAAATCAGAAGCTAATTAAAATAAATATTAGTTTTCAAAAATTCATTGTATTTTTTCCTCATTCAGATTAATTTTAAAAACAATATCAACAATAAGTATGCACAAACAAAATAATACTTATTCTTTTTTATTTAGACTGATAGCAACAACAATCTCATGAATAAATATTATCGAAAAAAAAAAAAGAAATTATTGTTTTCTATTTGTAGAGAAGGAGAACGCAAAAGTCATTCATGTCTTCACTTACCAGACGCTCATACATATAAGACGTCGTATTCGAGAGTTTACAATAATGTTGATATTTATATGTGATCCCTAAGGAGACTCTTTCAATCTCTACAGAAACTTACTGACTCGTTCTTAACAAGTCCAGAGAGAATCTCTGTCATGATTCTCTCAGAATTATTTAAAGGACATCCAAGGATTCTTTGAGAGAGGAACTTGATTTGATTTTTGATCTGTTCTACATGTTAACCATCAAATATCATTATCTGATTGCCGAAATGAATATTTGAATTTTTTTATTATTATAAAAAGAGTTGAAATGTGAATTTGTCTCTTATATTTGAAACTCTCACAAAGCAATCAATATCAAAAGTTTTTATAAGATATTTTATTTTCAATGAAATAAAATATTTCAACAAAGTTTTACTTTTGACAAAAATCAATCTAGTGTTTAACTTATATTAAGCAAATAATAATCGTCATTCGATAGACATTGTTACAACTGGTTATTTCTGCCTAAGCTTCTTGGTCACAACTCGTCTTACTGTGACTCACTTATGTTTAATATTAAATAATAAAGTTTATCTCTTTCAATGAATCATGAAAAATTCGATTCCACTTGAAAAATGAAATTTTGTGACTTTTAATTCAAAAAAAAAAAAGTAATTAAATTATCGACATATATTTAAAACGATAAATTTATTTGTGTTGAAGAAAATCTAACATAGTTGATACGAATACTAGATACATAATTGTATTAGTATTTGTGATTATCCATGATCAATTTTTAATTACATTGACTAGTCACTTTAGTTATAACCATCATAGCTATGACCAAATTATGATATATTTCATCGACAATAATTCTAGGACATTTCACTCTATTCAAAACCATTTTCCAAGTTTATTAAATAATGATACTCTTTATTTTTACTATCACATCTTATAAGTTAAACAAAAAAAATAATAATAATAATTTCTAGACTTAATCTTTTTTTTTATGTTTTGTTGTTTTCTAACATACTAATAAATAATGTTGGTGTCTGTTGATCATTGCTATACTACAAGAATTAATACTGCATATTATTTTGGCGCACTAATTCTCTGTGGAAATTATTTGTCATATTATCAACCAGGAATAAACACAAGGGAGACTATGTCGCTTGCTGTAAAATGTGTTTTACTTACTTGTTTTAATGAAAATGCGCCCTTGCACAATAAAACAGAATACTTGACGAAATTATTTTGATGCAATAATTACTAAAACAACAATTATAATATTTTTATTATAGTATCAAATAAATATGTTCACTAGTATCTGCTACATTTATCGAATTTCTATACGAATCTAATTTCGTCGATTTCTTCCAAACAAAGAATAGCTATAATGTATACCTGTTTTGAGACAAAAACAATAAAATAGATATCTTCAATAACACTTTTTTTGTTTCATGTACAAACAATGATAATGAATAATATATAATCGAAAATGTCGAATTCAGAATATCCTTTTATAGAAATAATTCTAGTAGAGTATCTAATTAACCCTCCTGCTAACAATTATGTCACAGATACTTGATTAGGTACTTGATTAAAAATTGTCTTGATGTATAGATACTTGAAGGTAGCAGTAAGATATTTGTGTCAGAGTTATAATATGATATCTACTTTAGTAATTTCAATTTAATAGTTTTACCAATGAAATATTTATTCTATTCAGAAAAGATAATATAATAAAATAAGATGATTTGCATAATTAAAATTCATAAGACAAATTAACATAAGAAAGAAACTATTTATATAAAGAACACAAAACTTCTTATATACTCGAGTAATATTTAAGAAAGACATGTAATAAATGATTACATTCTTACGTAAAAAATGAACAAGACAAGAGTGAGATAAAAATTTAATTTGAACAAATGATTGTTTTTTTTCTTTTGATTACTCAACATTTCATACATGTTCGTATATATATATATATATCATATTATCTTTTTTATATCAATTTATTGAAGAAGAAAAAAAAAACAAGATATCGATTAACAAATACTTCATTAATATATATATATAATATAATACAGAAAAAGAAAAGATAGACATTCAAAAACAAAAAAAAAAAACGCAAACAACTAAAAGTTAATAAGTGTCTGTCTGTTTTGACTAGTGAGACGGACGGATTCAAGAAAAATTTTCTTTAATTAATGTTAATAAATTATCTTAATGGTGGAAGAAGTGAACTTTTTCCATTACAATCCGTAATAAATGAATGTGGTGATTGTTGTTTACTATCATCTAATAAAGATGGATTAATTAAAGATGATGATTTTGTTGTTATTGATCGTTCTCTATTTCGTCGTTTTTGTTTACGACAACAAAGAAGAAATAAAAGACAAAGAACACCAAGACATATAATTAATGTTGATAAACTAAATGTTAATAAAATAATAATTGTTTCTTGTTTTTTACGTTTATTATTTGCTAATCTTTGTATCATTGATCGTTGATGTTGAGACGATTCTAATTGTTTTTCATATTCATTTATTAGATAATCACGATCAATTGATGTATCACCAATTAATATAATTAATTTATCTTGTTTTATACATGGTTCAGGAAAAAATGTATCTGTTAATGAATAATCAAGTTCCATTATTGATGGAGTTTTTAATGGAAGATCATCTATTGTTAAGAAACCATTCGAATTAAGTTTAAATAAATATGAATATTTTGATGGAAGTAAATTAAATGTAATATTTGATTGATCTGTTATATCTTTATCAAATGCAAATAGACGATATGTAAATGTTTCTCCTGGAATTTTTTTAAAACGTTGACGAGATACAAATATATATGGTTCAGAAGAAAAATTAACTAAATGTGGACAATATTCATTTATATCATTTACTTTTATTGTTAATTTTGCTTCACTTGATAAAGGTGGTGTGCCTAGAAACAAATTTTCTTTTTTTTTTTTGAATTTTGTATAATATAACCTTAAGTTTTAATCAAAGACAACTCAGGGCAGATTGTAAAAGCTAATATTGCTAGACCATGAAATTGGTTGAGTCTCTCTATACATAGATCTTTTTCCGGATGTTATTCCATATGCTGTTCGAGCTAAAACTAGACAGTGACTATGAATAATTGGATGAATACAATCATTCATTACCTAAACAGGTCATATACATTTATATATTGTTGGTCGAATCAGTCTGACTCATTCAACGTAGAATCGATTCAATCTATCACTCAAATTTACACACTTGAACTTAGTAAAAATTTTTTTTTTTTGATAGATATCTACAAGTAATTTTCGAATATTTTGTTTGTTTTTTCATATAAAATCCTACGGACTTATATATTTTATCAAATTTTTTTTGTAACTCGATATTATAAAATGTGATCATAAAAGTTTCATTTGTTTTAAACGAAAAAAAAAAAACTTGACCTAAAGTCAAAATTCATTCGATAAAAATCTTTTACTATTTTATCAAAGGAAATATGAAAGAAAAAAAAAGGTGTAACAAAAAACTCACCATGATCTCTAACAGTTATAATAAATTGATGTATTTGTTGTTGTTCAGCATCAGGTATTCTCGTAACTAAAACTTGTCCTGTATGACTTGTATGAAAGAAGAATTCTGAATAAGGTGTTATTGAACGAAGTGTATATGTTAATTCACCACGTCTTGTTCCAGGTAAATCTTTATCTTTACCAATAATTTGTCCAACTACAGTACGTACTGGTACATTTTCATTAATTTGAAAAAAATATTGAGTCTTTTCAAATTCTGGTCGATGATTAAGACCTTCAATTGATATTGTTACATATGTTTGACTTATATGTTCACCATCGGATACAGTTACATTAAATGTTATTGTTTGATCAGTCATATTTATTGATAATGGTTCAATTAAACTTATTTGACCTGTTTCAGAATCTATACGAAATAAATTTGAATTTGTTGAATATATTAGTGATTTAGTTGATACATCAGGATCAGTTGCATGAATTTGACCAACAATTGTTGAATCAGATAATGTTGATGATGATTGAATATTTGTTATAAAATGATAATGTTCATGTTCAAAATGTGGTATCATATCATTCATATCATCAATTACAATATTTATAATAAAACGTGAATGTTCACCACCACCATCAATTGCATCAAGAAATAAAATAAGAGATGTTTCAAGTTCATAATCTAATGGATTTATTAATTCAATCTAGATAAAAAAAAAAATTTTTTTATTAACCCAAATCAATATCTTTATTTAAATGTGTCTTTTTAGGATTTCTATAAATCTGTAATGATAAACATACACTTGCATGTGTATGAAAGTATATCATTTCAAAAATGACTGTACTAAGTTGTAAGATTTAGTATTTTACTAATGACAAGAAGAAATATCTAGGACGACTAATTTTCTCATTAGTTCTATTAGGATTTAAAATATTAAAAAGTCATTTTTTTTTCCAGCCCATTTGGATTATGATTTATGAAGAAAGTTAAGAATTAATCTAATATAGATTGTATTTCTACGCTCAAAAGCAGAAAGTTTAGAATTCTATAATAAATGTGTTAATTAAATTCTGTTGTATAGATTATTATACAAAATAAAATTGATTAGGAAAAAAAAAAGAATTTATTACTTTATAATGTTTCATTGATGTTGGTTTAAGTTGAAAAGCTTGTCGATGTTTTTTAATTGATGTTTGTACAATTAAAGTTAATTGAACTTGTCCATAAATACCTTGATCAATATCATCAACAGTAATCATAGCTAAAAGTCCAATTGTATTTTCAATAATATTAATTTGTGAATTATTTTTAATAATATCAATTGAAGAAATAATTTGTCGTACTTGAATATTTGGTTTATGATCATTAATATCTTCAATAATTATTTCTAATGGATGATATGCTGGTAATGTTGAACTCATACGTGAACCACAATCTTGTGCACGTATTGTTAATAATAAATGATTATTTAATTGTAATAATGGTATTAAATCAAATGATGTCAATAATAATGATTGAATTATAAATAAACAACCAGTTTCATTATTTAAATATAAAAATTGTGTTAATTTATCATCAAAATGATCAAATGAATAAATAATACGTCCATTATTACCTTCATCTGGATCATAAGCTTGAAAACAAGTTAATTGTCCTACAAAAGAAATTATTTGAATTAAAAAAAGAAAAGAAAAAACTTTTTCTTTTTATTAAATTTCTTATTGCTTTTTTTTTTCTTTACCAGTAAATGTTTCATTAACAGAAATTTTTGTTAAATTAGTTAAAAATTTAGGTGAATTATCATTAACATCTAAAACTTGAATATTTATTTTCATTTTTGCTTGTTGTTGTTGTTTATCAGTAACAATAAGCCATAAATGATCATATAGATCACGTTCTTCTCTATCTAATGGATGATTTTTAATTCTTAAACATAAATCATTTCCTATTGTTTGATCAATTTCAAATTTTTCACTTCCATTACCAATTAATTCATAAATAAATTGATTTGTTTCTGGTAAATCTTTATCATCAACATTAGGAATACGATAACATTGTCGATGTTGTATATTTGTATTTTCTGGTATATGTATTTGAATTTCATTTGAACGAAAATAATGTAAATTATCATTTAAATCATTTATTGTTATATTAACAAATATAATTTGATGTTCAGGTTGTGAAAGTATTTTTAATTGTATTGAACATTGCATTGTACATGAACAAAATTGTTCAACACATAAATATTCACGATCAAGTGATTGAATTGCATAAAGATCTGTTTGATTTTCAATAGAAAAATATTTATGTAATTGAACATTTGTTGATACTAATTGATAAGATTTTATTGAATTTATTAAATTAAATGATAATAAATGACATGGAGATATTTCATTTTCATTTATTGATATATGATGAAAACGAGAATGAAATCGACAATAACAAGTTGAATTTAATAATATTATTAGGAAATAAATTATTAAAGAAAACATTATCTACAGTAAAAAGAAGAAAGAAATTTTGCCTATATGAACTCTTTCTATTTGTATTCATACACGAGATATAGTTTTCTTCTTTTTTTTTGTTGAGTCCTTGAAACTGGTATTATTATTAGAAGACGAGAAGGATATATATACTTGTTATTTGGAAAAGATCGCTTATTTAAATTCTTTACGCACGACAGACGAAAATAGAGGATTGAAGATTCTAATTGAACACGTCGACGGATTTTATAACCGATGAATTGATCGATCGGTCGAAAAAGAAAGAAGGAGAGATTTATTCTAAATTATAACCACAGATTTGTCAGTTATTGCAAAGAGGAAAACAATCTGTCATCATCATCGTTTCTTATTTCTTCTCACTTAGTACAACAGTATTTCTTCTTTTTTCCTTTCTTCTCTAGTGGCGACATTGAAAAAAGTGCGACCACAAAAGAATGACCCTTCTCAATGCATGCTTACTATTGATTTCACACAATTTCTAGCTGCTCATATACTCGAGGCCGTTTATATAAAAACTTCCGTCTACTTGACACTCACATACACATATACATGACGGAAGTAAAGACAGAAAGAAAAGAAAAAAGAAAGATGAATTGTCATAAGTACTAGAAGGCAAAAAGACGATTATTACTAGATGAATTTTGATTGCCAACTTAAAATAGTGACGCGACACTTCTTAACCACCTATTAAATACACCTGCTACTTATTTCAAGAAATGCTTACAAATCTTTACATTACATTTTTAAATCTATAATGTTCATTAGGAAAAAAGTAATTCATTTATTTGAATAATATTTACTGATATCATTAAGAAATAAAATTTTTCTTAGATTTAATATTTTTTATTCTATTTGATGTTTTTGTACATTTCTTCTCTTTGAATTCTAAATATTGTTCGACAAGAAGAATTATTGTGCTTAGTGAAATGGAAAAAAAAGTTATTTCTTATCATGACTTTAACAATGTAAAAGAACCGTAGAAAAAATGTTGACATATTGACGATAGAGTCAAGAATTTTTTCTCTACTTAATTATTTGGCCTTTATAAGATGAACATAGACATTCTTTTTTTTTTTTTAAATGGCTTCTATGTTTAACCAAAGAAGAAAAGGAATCTTATAATAAAGAATTTTATATTTTCCTTAAATAAGCTTCATATGATTCTAAAAGCGAAAAACCCTTTTTTTTTCTCTTCTTTCTCTTTCCTACCCACCGAATTTTTCTGACGTACCGCCCTACCGTGTTAGGAAAAGGACAAGATAATAATAGAATGTATCGCCGCTGGAGACATATTTACTGGTGATATCCGTTCAATCAAATGACTGACAAACTAACTCCAATAGATTGATGATAGATGAATGTTTGTAGAATTTTTCTTCAAAATGCTTCCTCGAGTAGTGGCTTTATGACCTTTTCTCATTTTTTTTTTGCATCGTATACTATTGTGTATCTTTCGTGTGCTCTCTCTCTCTCTCTCCCTGCTTCTCTTTTCTTTCTCGTTATTATGTAAACGAACTTTTCAGATAAACAAACAACATATAACTCAATCGTCCCCGTGTGGCAACACTTGTGATGTCAAATGCACAGATGCTAAGTGGCCGACTCTAGTCATTCAACTAATTTTATAAACACCATTTTCTTGTTCTCCTTTGCTTCGTGTCATCCTTATTATCATATAGAAAGGAAAATTATTATCTAATCTGTTTCGTATCATACTTCTATTAAGACTAAGCTTAATAATTGATTTTCAAACTTTGAGAGAGAAAAAGAAGAAAAAAAGGACACACTCCTCCTCAAGCAAGATCGAGTGAAAAAGAAGAAGAAAAAAAAAAGAAAATGTGTCTTCCTATATATATATATATATATATGATGCAACTCAATTGCGATTCCAATACGAATGAAATGAGAAAATGGAGATGGATCAGAATGGAAAAAAAGACCTTCGGGCCACGGCTACTACTAACACCAGAATCACATGAGACAAAAAAGGAAAAAACCGTTTGATGATTAGTTAAATTATCGAGAACAAGAATGCTGACATGTAAGAGCCTTTAACGAGTTCTATTTGTCATCTAAAATATAGACATTATTGATCTTATTTGTACATACTTACATAAAAACTAATCCAAATGTTTAAAATATCTGAACAATTAAAGAGAAGGTTACAATAATCGTCTAAAAATCTTATTTAAAACAGAAAAAGAAAAGAAAGCAAATTGTCTGCAAAATATCACTCTCATTATGAACAAATAATTGGATAACATTCATTCTCGTCTTTCTTACATTATATGTATATAAATGAACACGTATGCATGACTATTTGATAGGTCCTGTTCTGTCGTTTATCTATAATAATAACATTGATATTTGTGTTTCCGTCTATTATCTTTGTGGGCACGTTTCTTTTTATAGAATGGATAATGGTCAGTATCATCAAATAGATGACAATTCAAGGATGTTCTGTTTATACGATTGTTCATTGTGATGTTTTTTTTCTATCCCTCCTCTTTTATTTTTTGTACTGAATTAAATGACATGAACATCTATAGACAAGCATATGATCAAACGTCGGTTTGCATTCACCAGACTTGATCAAACGATTCTATATACATAGATATATATTGTTGATGTGAATAACAACGATGGCGCACGCGTGCAGACAATGAATGATCGATGTGATTTTTCGGAAATAAAAGAAATTAACAGAAATAAGAGAAAAAAAAGGCAGTCAAAAAAAAGAAACCTGATGATGATTGAACGAAGGCGACAACGATGACCTGACTTGTTCCTTTTTTTTGTTCTCATTCTATACAGACACTAATGAAAACTTCCGGAGTTGGTCACTTACTCGGACTCGTTCATGCACGAGAGACAGCGTACAAGTAGTTAGACAGACTTTCGCCTTTTCCTATATGTGTATTGTTTGTCCACTTAATCAAATGTGTGCAACTCACATAAATACATATATAACTTATTCTTTTCCTATGTTCACTAGCATTGAATAATTGATCAATGAAAGCAACAAAAAAAGAAAGAATTTAGTACAATGATTACATCATCATTTCTTCACTTGTCTTCCATCAATCAAACCGCCTTAGAAGTTGACGAATTTACCTTCTCAAGAGATTGTGAATAAAACAACCGTAAGAAAAAAAAAAAAGAAGGAAAAAGAGTCATCATCATTGTATGTCTGTTTTTTACGGTTCATTGAATATAAATCTTCTTTATTACATAACATAACAACAAAAAGAAAAAAAAACGAATCTGATGATAACGGTAAAATCAAGACACGAACCGGAAGAAAAACGATGATGATGATGATCATGATGACTAGATACTAAAATCAGTTTGTTTGAAATGTTATAGAAAAAGAGTTGAATTTAATGATTGTAGCGTGCATATATATCTAAGCACGCCTTGTCTCGTTCAAGTGGAATGAGTAGAAGAGGATTTTCATATGAACAAAATGTTTGAACACGCTCAACTAAGAACAACAAATGCACACGTTATCGATAATTGTCGTATTTTAATAATCAAATTCTATACTTAAAAAACACTTTATCGCATATTGTTGTTGATCAAATAATACTATTCTTCTCTCTCACTCTCTTTCTTTGGTTTGAGTACTTACATGCTGGACTGATAACGATTATTGAATGTTACTGTGCTTGCTTACTTGCTCATACAATACTATTACTAGTACTACTCGATTATACGCATCGATTCAAATCGGCTTCTTTCGCTGCTGTTACTCTGCATTGAAGCAAATACAATCAATATCTTTTTCTTTTTTCATCGGCAACTGTGCAATAAGCAAAGAGAAACAGAGAAAGAGAAATACTCTTTAATGTTCATTTATAGTTCCTTTCTCTATTCTTTTTCTTTCCCTGTGTGTATGTATGTGTTCATCACAATCGTTCGATTGCATGCATGCAATCGACAATGACGATGTTGACTAGTGACCACATACACATCAATCAGTCATGACTTTTTGCACGTCGTATGTGTCGATGTCAGCTAGCTGGGTCGAGACAAATTATGCTTTAACATACAAACACATACATATACAATATAGTTTAAAAGTCTTCTCACAGCATGAACTAAAGCGGATAAGAAGCTTTGAGAAGAAACTGACATTTTGATCGACAATTGTATATAACATACATATAGTCGCTGGGCGTCAAAATAAACATATTGCTACTGTGCACTCATGTGTTAATCATTTCAATATCCGACCACCCGCAGAGATAGAACAATTTCCATTTCAATCATATTGACATTTAATTTTATCATCTTTAGATCAAAAGTAGTTTCAAATGATATTCGATCAAAAAATGTAAATAAATATTTTTCAAATTGAACAGATTAATAATATCAAATGATTACCTACAATATACGAATTACTTGAAATCGAATAGGTGTCTTTCGTTCATATTCATTTATTTACATATGACTAATCTCTGGCTTCTTATTTTCATTTTTTTCTAAATAAGCAATTATAACATCTATCTTTAGTTTTTATTAAAAACATGATTTTTAATCACTATTTGTTTGTATTCATATTACATGATGATTTTGTCTATCTGATTGACTTGTTGACAGGTGTACATCTTTCTTCTTTTTTTTTTGAAAACTATTTCGCGCAATGATGCACAGATGAAAGATTGACATCGTCAGTTGTTCATTCGGATATCTTTGAACGTAGACGACAACGTATATAATGATGATGAGAGTTGAAGGACAATAACATAAATTTTAGACAATGCGACATACACCAGACACACACACATATATATATACTCTCTTTAGTTTTCAATGACGACTAGATGACTGGCAACAACTGCTTAATTGTATATGGGAAGAATTATCTTTCCATCGACCGTTAATTAGCAGAAACACTAAGAATGTCAGGGTTCTAAGAATTATATACATCGAAATAGAATAAGATATGTGTGTGTTTTATGTCAATGACTTGAGATATATAACGATGAACTGATAAATCATAACAGCTGTTTGTGTTTAAAATAATTAGATTACATTTACAAATGAAAGATCATGAATATTTTATCTAATAAGAACATTTCACATAACCCACTTTGATATTTTATGGAAAAAAAAAACAATGATAAAAAATGAGTCGCAAAAGCATGATTCATAATTTTTCTCGAGAAAGAAGAAAATTATTGATCTGTATTTAACACTTACACAAATAGTAACAAATATTGAAATATTATCTTCATCACTTTTGTAATAAAAAAAAAAAAACAGTGCGATTATTTTCAACTAATCAAGATCAAACTAAGACTCTATTAACAAAAGCTTTACAACTCTCTTTGCATTCTATGAGAAGTTAATTCTTACATTTAATACAATCGAATGTAACCTTCTAATACTTATTTATGTAATCATCACATATTTTTCATCGTCTTTCACGCTACCTTCAATGTAAATCTTTATGTTCTATTTCAAATACTTGCCTTCAAATTTTGACAAAAAAAAATTTAACGAGATTTATTGAAAAAAAAGACAAGAAGTCAGAAGACGTAAAACTCATTCGACATATAGATGTGTGCAATGTATTATGTGACATTGCAACAACGAGCTGTAAATGAATTTTTTCATATATCCCGACCAACATTTGTTATTCCAATTTTTCGAGCACCAACTATAACATCTACTATTAAAACTACAATAAATGCAACAATATCAAGTACTAATAAAATTTTCTCATCTAGTTTAGCACAAGAACAAAAACAAGTTGATACTACAAGTACTTTACTTTCTTACTTGAACAGTCAGCGTATATTTGAAAATCTTGTTTTAACAAATACTATTGTAGCTGCTTTTTGTATTGTTCTTATGATAACATTAACTGGATTTCTTATTTTTCTTCTTATACCATCAATTCGACGTCGATGGCTTAATGAACAAAAAAAAGATGGAAAAAAATATGAAGATATATCAACATTAAGTCGACAACCATCATTTCATCAATTTACATTAGGTCCATCTCGACTTAATCCATTATTTGAACCAACAACAGGTACAACTCAATTTGGAACATTATTTCATCCTCATACAGCAGCAGCTACTATTCTTCATCCAACTCTTTGGACACCAATGACACAAACATCTGTTATTTCAACTCCTGTCATGTCTCAACAATCACAAGCATCACCAGCACCACCGCCACCACCAAGAGCAAAAACAAAAGCAACAA